CGCTTGGTTACCATTTTGAGTAAAATTTTGACACTTCCGCCGGCCGCAGCTGTCAAAATTCTTTCTTTTCGTTGTTATTACGACGGTAGTTTGGTGTAAGTTCTTATGTTCAATATAATTTCGCATTTGTGCAGCCATCATTGATTATTTTGGCGAGATAATAATGAAAATGTGTAGCGCATTATGTGGCACACACGATTTAAGTGAAATTTTGACGGTTTTACACACTTTGTCGTGTGAAAGGCCAACTCGCGAAAATAAACAAATGCAACACGAATGCAAAGTGAAATGGAAAAGTTTCTAATCAATGGAATTGTTTTACGTATCCACAGCCCACACAGCCAATCAAAATGAAATTGAACAAGTTTGTGTCGTCATCGCGCAGGAAGAACCGCAAGCGCCACTTCCAGGCCCCGTCACACATCCGCCGTCGCCTGATGTCCGCCCCTCTGTCCAAGGAGCTGCGTCAGAAATACAACGTGCGCTCGATGCCCATTCGTCGTGACGACGAGGTTCAGGTGATCCGCGGCCACAACAAGGGCAGCCAGGTCGGCAAAGTTGTCCAGGCCTACCGCAAGAAGTTCGTCGTCTACATTGAGAAGATCCAGCGTGAGAATGCGAACGGCACCAATGTTTACGTTGGCATCCATCCCAGCAAAGTTTTGATTGTTAAGCTGAAGCTGGACAAGGATCGCAAGGCCATTCTGGAGCGTCGCAGCAAGGGACGTCTGGCTGCTCTGGGCAAGGACAAGGGCAAATACACCGAAGAGACTGCCGCTCAGCCCATGGAGACGGCGTAAATGCTACCTCCCAAGCACCTAACATCAACAACAACAATAACCGTTATATGTGTGCAGCAGCAAAAATAACAACAACGACGTCGCTGTTTACAGTTTTTTACCGTAACGCTTAGTGTCAATGAGAATTGGAAGATATTGTGTGAAGTGAGAAAATGCCGCAATTCTTTTACAATAAAGAAGAGTTGAATTTTCCCAAAAATTTGTAAATTACAAATCTTTTGTTTGTTTGGTTCTGTGTACTAGAAATGCTAGGCATAATATGTCCTGGCTGGGACTGGAATAATCCTTAGTTCCAGTCTGTTGGATCGGAATTCTTGCAGGGCACTTTGAACTAGAGGATACTCTTAATGCATTTAAGTAAAAAAAGTACCAGTGTTAATATGGTCTGATGCTCAGCTGCATTTTAGTAAGCATTTACTGCCAACCACTAATAATATCCTTGTAAAATATTTTGCTGAAAAAGTTCTGTTTATTTGAAGTTTTACTCGGGCTCAAAATGCTTGCATGTTTTTATCGTTCATCGATATACATCGATGTACATACATACATAGTTTGCCTTGGGCATTCTGTGTGTACGTCAAATTGACAGAAATGAGTCTTTGGCTGAAGTTCACCTTTCGTATTGATTTAGTCGTGTTCGACCTGTTGAGAGAGGATATTAAATAGTCGAAGCTTGAAAAAAGCTAACAAATTTAAGTACAAAAAGTAGAAAAAACCGTAAACGGTAAATTTAGTTTTGTATCGATAGATATATTGTCTCGCTGAAGATAATCGACTTCGACTTTTGTCGAAACTTGTGATCGTCGTGAATTTTGTTTTTCTGCAACTTAAAAAAAAAAAATGGCATCGTTGAGCTTCAATGATTTTGTCTCATGTCCATATGACAAAACTCACAATGTGTTGCGGGGCCGTTTACCCCAACACTTGGAACGCTGCAGCCGCAATTCCGATATCAAATTGAAAATTTGTCCCTTTAATGAAACGCATCGCGTCCCTGAGAAGGGAATGGAGGTGAGACACATTGTAGATCTGTTGCCGATCATCAATTTTACTTTACTCTGCTGCTGTCTAGGCGCATATTAAAGAATGCCCGGACCGTGCCAGGTTGGAATCGTTTAAGATCAAGGAAGAGTTACAAGGGGCGAAGGAAGTTGCACCCATAGATTTCGTTGAATGTGATGAAGACTGGGACAATGAACCCGATGTGTCAGCCTACAATCCGAACGTGTACTGTGAGGAGAATTTGGTGATTCGTTCAAGCGTCATAAATGGACAGTCTAGATCCGTTCGCCGCAATTTCCGTCAGAGTGAGCGACGTCGTTTTGCAAATAAACAATAAAAATAAAAATGGATGGATGGATTTATATAAATTACAACTATTTCTGCGGGTTTTACATTTTGTTACACAAATATTA